CCTCGCTCAGCCAGTGAGCGGGAACAGGTCTGTATGTGGGATCTGAACCCTCGGCGGGAGGGCCGCCGCGCTTCCCAAGCGGCGCACTATCGCAGTGCGCCACCGGGCCGGCCCGTGGAGTAGCTACTCTTATTTCAACTAATGCTCTGTAATTTCTAGTGGCACTTCTTACCCTTACAAATGCCGGAATTAGCAATAAAACGAGCAGAAGCCTTTAAGAGGTTGCCACCACAGCTGAGCATGGAGCGGTATACCAGAGAAAATGCTATATGAATTCTTAATAAGCATTGTGTAGAGAGGCCAAGTTTCTGACAAGCCTACAAATTTCATAGTTGGAAATATATTTGCCCTTTTTTACTATATTCAGAAAGACTATACTATAATGTTAAAATTAATTCTCAAAAATGTTTATTAAATATAGTAAAGGAACAATTTCATTTAAAACGAAGACAAACTCTGTACCCTTTATGATGTTAAAGCAAAAACAAACTGTCAGAAATGGTATTCTCCCTATTTTCAATATGATAGTTTTACTGAAACTCCTGAAATGTTGGAAGAAAATTACCAAAGCTTTAGAAGTAGATAATACATAGTGTTTCTTAGGAACATATGGACATGTTTAGACATCTTTCTCGTATTTATATCTCTAGCTCTTAGCAGAGTACTTGACATACAATAGGAGTAGATACTCAATAGATGCTTGAAAAGTAAATGCTATAGCAGAAATATACAAAATATGTTTTTGATTTCAAATTCTAAGATGTTTGTCTTAGGGTTTGACACAACAAACAGGTTCCTGGTTTGCTTCTGTGTGTCAGGAAGGCAGCCTGTGATATATTTACCTTCTGCATTTACCACCATAGTTCCAATAACCCCTTTATGGCTCTGTATCCTTTTTAGGGTTTCCTCCACCTCTGCCTGAAAGAGATCAGGAAGGCAATTAAAAAAAAAAGTCTTTCTGGTGACCCCAGCTATAAGGAGAATGATGTTTAGAAAGGCACCTACTCCCCTATCTTCTTAACCTAAAATCTGAGATTTCTGACAGACAGCTTTGAATTTTTCTAGGGACAAAAACTTACAGCCTCACAACAGCTCACTCCATTTTACTTCTTTTGCTAGAAAAGTACTATCTACATGGTACCGAAATCTGGTCTGGATCATCTTTCACTAAGTGATCTTTCTGTATTCATATGAAAAATTCCTTTTCTGCATTATAGTCCTTTAGATATTCAGAGCTTTATCATAGCCCCCCTCTGTCTAACAGAGGCCCTTAGTGAGAAATCTTATTTTCATTAATGTTACCTAATTGGGAGTTCAAATTATTAAATTTACAGAAGGATATTCTGTAAAAACAATGTATTCCAAGGTTCCAGAGTTCTCTTGATAACTATAGCTTGGGTATCAGTGCAAGCTGACTGTTCAATCATGAATGATTATGTTGAAACCTCATTATTGTGTTTTAAACTTTCTCAATGAATCTTATTTATAGACCTAATTATACAGTTTTCTTCCGTTCTAGAAATGTCAAAATCAAGAATAATATCTGCCAAACCTACATATTGTTCATGACTGAGCAATCACTGGATATTTTGAACTCAAACAGTATTCTGTAGAGTCTCTTGACAAGGGTTTGTTATATTTCCCCCCCAATATCACACAGGTGAACATTATGTTACTTTAGTCAATAAACAATTCCTTTTGCACTTAATGTGGGCACCACCACTTATTTCCTCTTTTCCACCACCATAGCGGGTGTTTTATGAATTTCAGGCATTTGTGTACTAGATTCACGATTTTTGCCATTATGAATACTATCTGTATTATCTACCTAGCATGTTCTTTAAATTATATCACTGCTAGAAGCTCAAATAAATGCATTTTAAGAGGAAAATATACATCGCCGCCACAAATGGAAACCCGGTATCATCTGTCATAAATAGAAATAACTGTAAAAACAACAAAATGAAGAGAAAGAATATTATTAAATTCTACTGCAATGAAAGATATGAGCCTTGAGGTCTGCTTTTCAGATGAAAAATGGAAATTGCCCAATGATAGTGGTGTTAAGGACCTAACAGTGCCAGAAACTTTCTTCCAAAGATAGTCTAAAGGCTGAACAAAATGCTAGAGGAATAACTTTCTCATGACGAGATTTACTCTGTTTTTGGCATTTCTGGGCCATCTTATGTAGAAACTAATGTTTGCATCTCGCGTTGGGAAACACTGCACTAAAGCATAACAGTTGTACGGGGTGTCAACAATTTATTACATTTTTGGTAATCTTTAAGACAATGTCCACAGCTCCTTACAACCACTACCTTTGTTTACTTTTATCTTTTACTTTTCTGCTTTTCCTGGCCTTTCCCTCTCTTCTCCCAGTTGTTTTGCTTCCCGTGATTTCGGAGTTCTCCTAATACAATTTCTTAATCCCCACCTCCAATCCCCTTTTCATTGCTCTCTTAGAACTCTTTGCTTTCCCCAGTGTCTGCTTTCCGTTTTCTTCCTTTTCCTTTTTTTTTTTTTTTTTGGCTGGGGAGGGGAGGGCTCTCTCTTCTCCGTTCCTCCCCTTTCCCCGTTTTTCTTTGTTTTCTCCATCTCCCCTCTCCATTCCCTCGTTCTCCCTGACCCATCTCTTCCTGCCCTCTCAGGCGCGGGTCTGTCACCTCTCCATCTCGCTCCTCCCCTTTTCAAACTTTCTGGGCTCCCAGGAGTTCTCCTCCCCCTGCATCTTTCTGCCTCTCAATCTCTCTCTTCCCTTTCTCGATATCACCTTTCCCCAAGTACCACCCCCGAAATCAAGCCCCGAGATAGCTTCCACCCATCTACACATCTTCTTCCCCCTCTCCAGGGTCTCCTCGTCCCTCCAAGAAGCTTCTGGAGCCACTAGTCTTCGCCGCGGCGCCGGGACCTCCCAAGCCTGGGTGGGCCCCGGGAGCCGGGCAGCGCGGGCCCCTGCCGGTCGGCACCCTTGGAGCGGCGGGGCGCGGATGGAGACCCCAGCTTTACCATCGTGCGGGCGGTGAGACTCTGGGCTCAGTCCGGCGCCACTGCCTCCCGGGACGTCAACAACGCTTCCAGCTGTTGCTAGGAGACAGGAGAGGAAGTGACCTCCCGGAAGCGCCGGGGCCGCGCCTGCGCGTGCGCACGGGTCGGGCAGCAGCCGAGGCTGTTCTTCCGCCCGGACCGGGGTTCTGACGCCTCTCGGCTGCCGTAGGGGAAGGTTCGCAAAAGTGGGCGACGGGCGCTCTCCTGGGGTTGGCCTAGTCCCCGTGGGGCTATGGGGCCGAGGAGGGAAGAGGGGAGTGGGGCAGGACCCCGGCGTGAGTTTGTCCATTCATTCATCCCTTTAGGCACGTCTTAGTGCAAGAGCCGTTCACTCCTTCGAGGACTATTTGTTGACCACCTGCCACGTACCAGGCTCTCTCTCGGCCTGGGTACATTCCAGCGGGGGAGACAGACAGGACGACACACGAAGCCATAATACGTATGAGAGGGGCTCTGGAGCAGATAAACGGGGACAGGCCCATCCGACCCCGCGGTTGCGATGCTTTAGGTATTTGTTAATATACTCTCCAGTGCCCTGTGCAACGCTGGTACGTCTGCTTCCCCGCCCTTGTAGTTTTTATAATATAGAAAAAAAAAAAATATATATATATATATATATCACATAGCATCGAGTAGTACAACCACGTGTGACTGTATTTGGTTAATTTATATCTATCCACCTCCAGATCGGTAGTCCTATCTCACTTCTTAGACTCGCATTTAGTTGTAGCGCCCTCTTACTAAATTGCTGTTTACCAGTATTTTTGTTTAATCCATTGGATCTTTCTTTTTGCCACTTTTTGTGAACAGTTCTGAAGTTACTGAAAAATTGCAAGTGATACTGCTGGAGGTTCTACAAATTGCCATAGAAGAGCATTCCACTGGGTATTTAAGAAACTGATGGAGAAAACAGAAGTTAAAGATCAATTAGGGATGGTCAGAAGTCAATTGACTTTCTGAAGGGCGTGCAGAACATCTTTTGTAGCCTAGGAGGGAGAGTCCAGCTATTGTATAAAGCACAGCAAGAAAATTTTATGGCTGGAGTCATGTTATGACTTCCTCAGCTTTGAATAGGACAAACACTGATGACTAAATACTAGTTGTAAATTGGTAATGCACCTCTATAGGGACCATGCTGTAAGGACTTCCTATAATACTTTGTGCTTTCTCTTTGAGAAAGCAGTCTCACACTAAACAAGGCATGCTATCTCCAGGAATATCAACTAGAATCTGAATGAGCCTTTGTCAGGATGCTCTGGAATAGTTTTGAACTCAGCGGTGGTTTTGGACTAGCTGATCCATTTCAACTCTGAATCTATCATTTCATGATATTAAGTTATATATGGAAACACTCTGAGAAGGTGGAGTTCTGTTTTAATTTTTGTTAGGGAGTAGGTGATTGTGGTCACTGTAATTCTCTTCTTTTTTTCCTCCAGGAAATATACAGTTCTCAAGAAGCCAAGTCACAATGGCTAACTAATCACACTTAGTACTCAACACATGGGATTCCAACCGAAATGATTTGGAAAGGACCGTAGGTTGTGGGGGAGGAGTCTGAGCCTGATGTGTGTGTGTACACAGATCTGGCTCTTAACTGATTGTATCTACCATTTTGCAGTAATAAAAATTTAGGTCTTCACAATAATATTGGCTGAATTGTGTAAAGACTGGTTCTTGGGCTCTCTGTGTTTTTCTGATCCAGGAGATTTCTACTTGATTGTGTAGCCATTTGTATTTCTTATAAAAATCAATGGCAGTGCACCATGTCTGTTATGTCAGTCAGCTTTAATGAAGGAACCCACTGCATATGCATAGGGGTGTGAATTCTCTTGTTTCTGGAATCAGAGTGTCAAACTCATTCAATAGCTGACAGCTGTGATTAGAACAAAGAAAGACTCCAGCATGAAAGGCACTGACAGGAGAACCCGACTGCTGAAAAATAAATAAGAAGTAGCCAGACTGACTTCCAACCAACAGTCAAATTTGACTCATTGTGCACAGGAAATCAATGAGGAGAATATAAGCCATTTTCTCCTTATCAACTTTCACTTCTAATTATTCTTTGGAGGTAGCTTGGTTTAATTTAATTTTTGCCTTTTGGGGGACTATAATGAACATACAGAGCTGTGCTCTATAAAGTGGCTTGGCAGTGTCTGACTTGTTCCTTGCCCCATCCTCAATACACGTGAATTCTCCCATCTCCTCACCTTTTCTTTTGACTCACAACAAGTGCTAAATAACTTTGTCCTTAGTGAAAGTACTAATGAAAAATACTTTCTGCAAGTCCTTTTGAAGTAACCTCAAAAGTTGTGGTACATGCAAAGACATAAGTCCACTATTTCTCACATATAGCTTTGTCAAAATGAAACAATGTTCTTCTGGGGGGTCTCTCGCTCTTTGATAATTTGCTACTGCTCTCTGATTAACCTGAAAAAATCCAGGTAACTTCATGATCTTGAGTTTTCTCTTGGAATTTTTTATACCACCCCATATAGTCATTTTGGCTTTCCTGCCAGTTGGCAAATACTACAAACTACACCATGGAATATATTTTATGCCTGTTTTCTCATAAGATAAGGCACTGCTTGTCAACTTCAACAGAAATTCTCCTAGTACCCCACTAGTTTCCCTCCAGAAAATCGACACTAGATTCTTCTAAAATGCGCTTAATACTAAAGCAGAATCAGAGGATGTCAGTGATATCAATAAGTTTTCCACATAACTGACCCAGTGCCATAGAATTACAGAATTATAGATTTAGGGTTTCAGAAAATCAGCCATTTTTTATTTCTTATTAGGACAATGACTTTCTGGGTTAATTCTTTTCAGGACCCAAGTGTAACAAAAGTATTTACTTCCCATAAGAGAATCCTGTTTGTTGGAATTAAGTGGTTTCCTAGAGCACAGGATTTGGAGTTGCAAGCAGCTAGGGTTGACATTTCTAGGTGTGTTTCCTTGAATAAAAGAAACTCTCAGAGCTTCAATTTCCTCAGTTGTAAAATAAGAAAGATAATACTTGATTTAGAGGGTTGATGTGCAGTTTAAGTAATATTATGTGGATGAAATGCCTGGCTCATACCAGGTACCCGGTATGGACCATTTATGCACATTTCTTCCTTCTGTCTTTTTCTTTCTTTAGTCCATCTCTCCTTCCCTCCATTCCTTTCTTCCCCTTTCTCCCTCTTTCTCATCTTTCCATTTCTCTACCTTTTCTTCCCTACTTCCCTCCCCTGTTTCTTTTCTTTCTCCCTTAACCACCTTCTGTTCAATCTCTTCTTCCTTCATGCCCTCCCTAGGAAATATCTCCAGAATTCATATTGTTGACTTTCTCACTAGAGAACAACTTTCCCTTCTTCCTCTTGTACAGCCTGTTATTCACTTAGCTCCTTCATCTACCTCTAATCCCATTTTTTTCACAATTTCAACTATCTCCAGAATTCATATTGTTGACTTTCTCACTAGAGAACAACTTTCCCTTCTTCCTCTTGCACAGCCTGTTATTCACTTAGCTCCTTCATCTACCTCTAATCCCATTTTTTTTCACAATTTCAAGTTTTTTTCACAATTTCAACTTTTATACTCCTCGTCCCAGCAAGCACTTCCCACCTGAGTGCATTGCATTCAAAGATATTCTCGGTATCTCAGGGTTGAGGGCAAACTAAATATTTCCTGGTCTATTAGTTTTGTTCAAAGAAGAAGAAAGAAAGGGCTGAAGGGAACAATAAATCTCATGCACTTTATGTACCCCTTCTTTTCTCTGATTTATCCAGTCCTGAGGTCTCTGATCTATTTTTTCAAGATCTTTTAGTTTTGAAATTACTTTGATGGGTAAGTATAACACAAAAAGTAAGATGCACAAAACAAATGTGCTCATACTGTGGGTGAGTACCACCCAGTGAGCTCATTTGTAGCCTCCAACCAGGTCAAAAGAAATAGAACACTGCCCACACCCCACAAGCTTCCACATGGTCGTTCCAGTCATTTCTTCCCTCCTCCTCCCAAAGTTAGTTATCTGACTTGCAACAGTATAACTTAGTTTGCCTCATTTATAGTTATATCAATGAAACGACCTAGAATGGAATCTTTTGTTTAGACCACATTTTGAGCAAACCAACATTATGTGTATGACAATCACCCAAGTTTTGTGTGGTTGTAGTTTCTTCATTTTTATTGCATTTTTATTTTTACTTCATTGTAGGAAAACACCATGATTTACATTTTTACTGTTGATAGATGTTTTGGTTGTTTCTAGGTTTTTACTGTTGTGAGTAACACTGCCAAAGGCATTCTTTTAGATGTCATTTGGTGCACATGGACACGCATTTATGTTGGTCATATACTCAGACGTTTGGTGCACATGGACACGCATTTATGTTGGTCATATACTCGGACATAGGGGTGGAATTGCCGAGTTGTAGAGGGTGATTCATTACCAGGTGAGGCCAAACTGTTTTCCAATGTACCTGACAGTAATGAAAGAGAATTCCTTTTGTTCTACAGCCTTACCAATAGTTAATATTGCCAGGCTTTTTGATTTTAGCCACGTTGGTATGTGTATAGTGGTACCTATTGTGGTTTTAATTTGCATCTCCCAGATTATTGATGAGATTGAGCACTTTTTTCCGTATGCTTATTGACTCATTTTTTTGGCTTGTGTGTGTGTGTGTATGTGCATGTGCATGCACACCCTGGATACAGGCTCCTTAATGGTTGTATCTATATATTTACATTTACATATATGCCTACATTTATATCTATATCCGAATTACAAATCTGTTCTTCTAATCTGTGGCTTGCATTTTATTCTCTTGTCTTTTGAAAAATAGAATTTCTTAATTGTTATGTAATCAAATTTTCTTTTATGAGGTTAGTACTTTGGTGTCTTGTTTAGGAAAACTTTCTATACCCCAAAGTTATAAAGGTGTTTCATTTATTTTCTCATAGATATCAAACTGACACAGTACCAGGTAGTGAAAAGACCACCTCCCCCCAACTGTACTGCAGTGCCACCTTTGTAATACACCAAGTGTCTGTATTTGTGTGTTTCTCTTCCTGGACTTTCTATTGTATTCTACTAGATTGTGGGCCAATAACACTTGCCCTAATTTGATATGCTATTATAAAATCTTGATATCTAGTTAGAATAAGTTTCTCCTTATTCTTTTTTTTTTTAATTTCCTTTTTGTCTTTTTTCTTGACCTGCAACGGGATCGCAACCCTCGGTGTCGCGCCCGCACCACGCTCAACCAGTGAGTGGACCAGTCTCTATATGGGATCCGAGCCCTCGGCAGGAGCGCCACCGCACTCCCAAGCGCCGCACTCTACCGAGTGCGCCACCAGGCCGGCCCTCCTTATTCTTTTTCTATATGAATATCTGACTTTTCTTTTCTCTACATTTTCATATTACTTTTGGAATAAGATTGTCAATTTCCACAAAAATACAGCTGGTATTTTGACTAGAATTTAAATTTGTATGTCAGTTAGAGGGAATTGAAATCTTTGCAATAATGAGTTTTCTAATTTATGAACGCCGTATGCCTCTCTATTTTTAAAGTTTTTCTTTCATTTCTTTCAATAATGTATAGTTTTTTGTATAGATGATGAATCACTTATCTTTCATTATGTTTGTTCACGTGTATTTGATATTTGGTATTTTAAAATTTTATTTGCTCACCATTTGCTGTTGGTTTATAGATCAATTAGTTATTACATACAGGTTTTATATCTAGCAAATGTGCTAAATTCCTTTATTAATTCTATATTGTATTTATAGTTACATATTTATCTTATATATGGCAAAATTGCTCAACTCAATTATTAATTGTATATGCTAATCTATGATGTCTTTAGGTTTTCTACATGCTTAAGAATCTTCTTCAAATAATGACAGTTTTACATAAATTATACATGTAACAGATGAGAAGGAACACTTATCATCTTGTTTAATGGGGCCAGGATAACTTTGATAAAAACAACCTGACAAGAACATTACAAGGAGGGAAAATACAAGCACGTTTTACTTATGAACATAAATGCAAAAATCCTGAATAAAAATTGGTAAATACAGTAGTCTCTTGGTATCTGTGTGGACTGGTCCTGGGACTTCCCACAGATACCAAAATTTGAGGATGTTCACCTCCCTGATATAAAATGGCATAGCATTTGCATATCAGTTACACACATCCTCCAGTATATTACCTAATACAATGTGAATGCTAGGTAAATAGTTGCTATACTGTTTTGCTTAGGGAATAAAAACAAGAGAAAAAAATCTGTACATGTTCAGTACAGACACAATTTTCTTTTTTGAATATTTCTGATCTGTGGTTGGTTGAACACATGGATGTGGAACCCACAGAAATGGAGGGTTGACTGCATTACAGTACTTTATATGTAAATGTATAATATACAAAAATAATAATATTTTGTATTAGTACATTTCTATTGCTTATAACAAAATACTTGGAACTGGGTAATTTGTAAGAAAACAAAATTTATTGCTTACAGTTTCAGAGGCAGGAAATTCCAGGGAATTATCTGGTGATGGTCTTATTGGTGGTGACAGTTATGCAGTGGTCTCACATGGCAGAATGTGAGACGAGAGAGAGAGAGAGAGAGAGAGAGAGAGAGAGAGAGAGAGAGAGA